CCCAACGACAAGTCACAATAACTCCACATCCTTCCTTTTCCGTACCTCCCCCCCCTCTGCTGTCTAATCGCAAGCAGGGCCAATGCACATATGCTAGTCAGTCGTTTGATTGGGATCCCAAGACCGTAGGCCAAGGACAGCTATATCCCTCCCGGCACGACCAGGTCTAATTGACATATTATTACTCTAACCTCTGCAGGAGTGACTAACTGTGGCCCAGTCCGCTCAGTGTTTGTCTGCGTTTGCGCTTCGCATTTGAGGTTCGCAAGGAGGGTAAGCATGTGAGTTACGACTGACACCGCAGCGGATCTTCCACCCTCGGGTGACGGCAGCAGTGCCGGGAGTGCGCGAGAAGGCCGCCGGAGGAGCGATTGGCCGAGCGGGTTTGGTGCAGCTGTGGTTAAAGTTGGCAGGACGGTTATTCTGAGGGTTGGCGGTAAGTTACGGGAGCTCAATTACTCTAGTCAAGAACTGGAGAGAGCAAACGTGTTGCTTGGGATATCATGGGTGAAGCCATACGAATATTCGGAGGTGGAGTGTGAAGAAAGTCAAGGATGGAAGAAGGACAGCTGGGGGGGCGAAATCCCCAAAACACTCTCAAAAATACGAGTAGATAACAGCATAGTTACCCTCCTCCGCAGCAAAAAGCTTTCCTAACCCCTTTCGATCATCGCACGATCGCCATCACCTATCTTCAGCCATCCGCTACTCATTGGTAAACGTTTACTAATCATCCGGCATGTACTGAAAGCCTCGGGCACCACTAGATACCGCCAATACTTGCAGGCTTTATGAATGCAGGGCCTATGAAGCCCAGGTCACTCTCACTTGGACCCAGCCTGGCACGAGTGTGTGTATGAATATGCTATCTGCGGGCTGGCCCGGCCACTTACTGTACGAACGCTGGATCTAGGAGCGGCGGATGGTTCTTTCAAGTTCAACATGGTGTCTAGGAAAGCAAAAACCCCGATAACAGCAAGAAGCACATGATTTTGCTCTATTTGCCATCCTCACACACGTTGGGCAAAAAACCTAATATCAAAGGCCATAATTCATTTTGTTAATAACTTAATAAATATGAAAGCACAATTCCAGAGACTTTTCTTTTTCTTTTCTATCCACCCATCCTTAAACGTGCTTGCAAACTAAATTAGCTCCCGTAATGAGTACACATCACCCAGCCTATCTCCTTACCTCAGATTTTAAGGTCCTCATAGTCAAGAGGAATACTATAAGGCCTCATGAGGTGCATGCGGGTGTGGGGGCGAGGATCAGCGGCCGCACATTGTGCTCCCTTTATCTCGGCCATTAGGTCGGCACAGGTATTCCTCAATTTCCATACAAGGTCCTCCTCAACACAATCGATATTATTCTTGAGATTGGTGATATAACCCCTTATCCGCGTAACCCCTTGCCGGAGTTGTCCAACCTCGTTGTGTATGCCCCAGTTCATGGCAAACATGAACGCAGAAGAGACAATCGTACAGGCCACTGTAGTTACAGGTCCTGAATGGGTTCTTGCAATGTCTAAAGGAAATTAATCTGTCAACTAGTAATCAACCGAGGTTGAAATCGGAGGGTGTACTTACGCCAGAGAGACATCTTCATTAATTTCTAGTTCGGACAGAGAATTTTACCGTTGGTAGTGGAAGGGGGGAGGGGCGCAAAATAGGGGAGAAGTAAACCCTTCCATGGTGCAACCCCCTCCATTTAAATACTAGGTCCACGTAATGGTAATAATTCTTAGTAAGGATCTTCAAATTCTTCAGGTTCAATTGCGTGAAGAGACCCTTCTTTGCAGGCTGGTTTCATGGTGTAGTTGGTTGTACACCAGGTGAGAGGTAGAAAATTGTCGACTTCTCCCCCACTAAACCTAACACTGAATCTTGGCGGGGGGCTAGACTACTAAGAGGTATGAGAACCCAACTCGGCTTAGACTACCGGTAGCTAGGCCAAGGTCCCTTATCTCCCACCATTGCAACATCGCATACTTTACCATGTGTGTGGGCTACCGCACCTTATCCCTTCCTTGGTTTTCCCACCTCCTCTGAGTAGTCTCCCTCAACATTGTCAAGCCACCACAGTCGATTCCCTGGACAAACAGTCGAGTACACAACACTCCAACACCGTCCCGAGGTCCCGGCTACATTTCAAGACGAGCCCGTATCGGTGAATAAAACCGTCCCCCTAGAATCCTCAATATGTTTCCTTATCCCAATGGATAGGCGAATGGTCAAATGGTATCAGCATGAGAGCGAGGGGGAGTGATAGTGCGGTGTGATATATATTATCTATAAATACCGAGTTGGCCGGGAGGTACATCTGACATGTCAAGACGTTGAAAATTGCCCCAATACCCACGAGAGTAGGGTACCCCCATTACTTTTACACAGGTTAGCATGCTCACGATGCGGGGAGCGGTGGGTTTTGGGAATTGCTTGCGGGAAAGTATCGGGGTACACGACAGATCAGGGTAAAGGAGTATCGAGTCTGCTCAAGCAGATCATCCCCCCTTGTAAGAACCGCTAAAGGGATATCAAAATAACTAGGAGCCAGTGAAATAAAGCAGAACAAACGAAAATGTCCACCGGGTTGGCATCCCCCCCCCCACTTCCTCCCTTGCCACAACGCTACCTCACTCATCCAATCCTACCCCCTCCCAACCCTCTTATGTCAAAGGCAGCCTCGGGGTGCGAGAGGTTTAGAGTTCGAAGGTTAGGGCAGAGGCTTGTACCCGGTTTGCGGAAGTGCAGAATGCCTGTGGAGGTGGAGATTCTAGCACCAAACTAGCAAGCATGTCTCCTGGTGGTGCCGGACGCAATGGTAGGGCTTGGGGAAAGGGAGGGATGATACCAGAAAGACCATGACAGAAGAAATATGACGCAGTGGCACCATTTACGGAGTGGAGCAGGAGAAGAGAACAATGACAAAAATTATTTTCTATCATAGCGGTAACCTTTCCAAACACTATCCATGGAGCATTCTGTGATCAGTAAGAAAAGATGCGCGGTATTAACCTAGTAAGCATATAGTAGAACTCACCTGTGCTACAGGAAAAAGCATTTTATTGCTTACAAGAAATCAGTCCTCTAATTGTCCGGGATTATCACATTTCCAAGCCACAGCTGCACCGCGACGCAGTGTTGTCTTTCTTGGCA